ACAAATGGTCCACTAGTAATGAAAGCCTCCGCTGGAATCCTCCCCCGGCGAACTTTACATGAAGTGGAATTTTCCCCTGGAACCTTATGCAGTTATTATTGAATGCTGTTGCCGCTACTTCCGCCTTTCTCAACTGCGATGGCCTAGCTTGCGCCATGCTTTCTCGTCGATTATCGACAGAGATGCACAGGTATCTAGCTCAAAGGGAATTTTCCTCCCAATGATTTCCATCCCAGCATTCTCGGCAACTCGCTCGACGACCGGCCTTTCACTGCATCTTCGACCGTATCAGCGGCTATCATTTGCTTACCCAGGCCTATCTCATTTTCATTGTGAATGCCCCTTCGTGCAGTAGTAGGACTGTCGTCCTCACCTTCGTGGCCGTCTTCTATTCTGCATATTTTACTCCGCAACGGCTTTCCACGTTCAGCTCTACGATAGTGTGTGAGCCTCGATATCGTTACCATGTTCACGTTTTGACTTACTAAATCCTCACCACTGTCGGAGCTACCGGCGGACTTTTCAAACCAGTGGACCTGGCGGGAGACTTTTCGGCCTGCTCTAGCGCCTTTCCAACACGTCACTGCTAGGTGGCCCTTCTTCTTGCATCCATTACAGTATGTCGTCTGTTTCCTGAAACATTCGTAACCGGCGTGGCCTAGCAATCCACAAATCCTACAATTCACATTTTTCCGAGCTGGGTCCTTGCTCGGCCTACCTTTTTGTTCTCTAGCCTGTGTACGCCATGCCATCTGCCGGTTACCTCATCTCTCCTGGCTCTCACTTGGGGCACTCCTACGTTTGAGCCTGCTGGCCTTCCTTCAAGTGGGGAGCATTCACTTTTACACGTTCGAAGGCTTCCGCCTGCTCTAAAGCCTCCCTCGAGGACAACTGCTCCTTCTCTAAAAGGCGCTTTCTCGTCTCTATCGAAAGCAACCCACCTATAAAAACCATCGTCACTATGGCATCTCGGTATTCTTTGATATGCTCAAGAGAGCATATATTCGCTGCTTTTTGCAGCTCCGCATAAAATTCAAACAGCGCCTGTCCCTGGGTCTCCGACATCAGGCCAAACCGCTCCGCCAATAGCTTTTCCGGCTGGTAACGCTGCTCCATAGCCGATCGAGATCCTTCAGCGCCTCTTCTTCTAATTCGCGTCCCTGCAGGAGTGATTACAGTAACTCGTAATTCGAGTTACCCACTTCCTGCAGGAATATCAGCCGCTGGTCCCTTTCTTCTGTCACCTTCCTCAAAACGAGGAAATTGACGAGCAGCTTCCACCAGGTTCGCCACGATGTGCCCGGGACATGCCGGGGCACGACCCCCATACACTTCGGCACCGGAGTCAGCCATCGTGATTCTGCCTCCTTCTTCTTTCTTGCAGCCTCCCTGAGTGGCCTCCACTACCGCCATCCTGTTCGCCTGATCGCCAATTAACGTGTGTGCACGGAAGACGAGGGGTAGGAATGATTCATTGTCCACAACATTCCCCTTTTATACATCCTCTTCATCTAACATTTATCACTCTCTTCCATCACTTCCTCATTCTTCATTTCCGCACTCACATCACCCTCTGCATTATCTTTCCAAGTCCCATGACACGATCATGCGGAACGGTTAGCCCGACCAATGGACACAAGTGTAAGGAGAGGATACGATAATTGCACGCAGTACGCAATTACAGAAATTATCCTAGAAAGTTTTCCGCAACGTCCGCCACCGATGCTGCTCTCTGGCTGCTTTCGAAATTCAATGGAATGCTTTGCTTATTCATGAGCATATGGCCCATCTTGTCATATATGTAGGGGTATTTATTAGTTCTCTGAGCTATTCCAGTGCGCTTAATGGTGGTGAGTGTGGTTTTTTGGAATTTGCTGGCAACCGTATTGATTGGTATGTGATGAATTCCTGTGTTCAGGCGATTCGCTTCAACAGAGAGTTGGTGACTATGAAGTAGTGCGCATCCATGAGGTGCCAGACACGAACGAGGATGTAGTTCGTCGTATTTCCTTTACAGCATTTGGTACTGTTAAGATTTTTCTTTTCGTAACAGCTCTTGATTGACATTTTCGTTGAATGTAAGCGTGTGTTTATTTAAGGGCGTTTATACGTTGCTGTATTGAATCCGGGTACTGATATTTTTGATCCATATGCTCGAATTAGGATAAGCGATGATATGCCAGTACCACTTGATCCGACTGGTCACTATTACGGATACCTCGAAGGTGACTATTTACACATTTTGTAACCCTAATTCGCGGAAAGTCTCCGCGTTCTGTGGCAATATATGCCAGTTGCTGTCTCTGTCTGCTCGTTTTGATTAAGGAATCAATTTGAAAGAGGCTTTCTAGAGTATTTCACTGCTATGATTTCCCATATGTGAGTAGGTAAGACGAGCAGCACGGATGGGGAGTATCACACCTCGCGGTCCTTTCGTTATTGGAGGACCATAAGAGCTTTCGGGGTATTGGTTCACTTGTAAGGGGGACGCGGTACGCGGCATGTTCGTGTCCTTCAATGCAAAGCGAAGAATCCGTGGCGCTCAGTGATTTCCGGTCCGGTAATACTTCCGCACAACTCTCTGAAATGTGCAGTTCGGCGCAATGTGGCTCGGGGGGCCACCTCGCAACATCGCGTCAAAATCACGGAAACGCTCCGTTTTAGGACTAAGCTTTTGAAGAGGAGAGGAACTCCGGTGTACGGAAGCAATTTTCGTATTCTCCGGAGTTCGTCCCTGCTGTTTAGGCTTAGTCCTAGATGACTTTTCTCAGAGTGGCCCCCGAGCCACATTGCGCCGTGCAATTCTTTAGCCCACTTACTTCTCAAGCACATACATTGAAGTGTTGATGAGTATTGCTTGCTCAATATCCTTCCTGCTTTTGATTGTCGGCCTTTTGAAGGAAATCCTTATCATACGGTTGTTTTGTCGCGATTGAAGCCAGACGTCTACATTGGTATGATCTCTGCTGGAAACGATTCCATTTACATTGAACCGGCCTTGTTTCATCACGAATCAGCCAAAGAGCAGTGAGTGTTGCTCATGTTGCTTCTTATTATGTGTTTCTGATGACGGCTTAACCACATTAATGATTGTCACAGAAACCACATGTGCTTCAGGGACGTGCTCGTGTTCCGCTCGAGCAGCTTGGACGGGACCAGTATTTTTCGTAGTTTGAATGAACGAGGTTCATTAGCTCCAGTGCAGGTGAGACTCTTTGTTCTATTTTTATTGTTGTTTTTTATTCTTTATTCGTCAGCATCTTATCACAACAGCAATTCTGTTTTTGATGCGTCCATGCCCAATCATCAATTCTTTGTTAGGAGCCTTTATTGTTCGCACTGGTGTAGAATACCTGGAATGCGCAGAACAAGCGATTTCATACGTATTTTAACTCTATAGCGCGTTCCGCACTCCACACTTTCCACGCTATCGAGATCTGTGAACTTAGCCTAAGAGATGAGTTTGGTTGCTGTATCGCAAATGTTGAATAGTTGTTGCCTTTGAGGGGTTGGCAACGCATTGAATACAAGACAAATTAATGAAAGTTAGCTCATTGTTCCGTGAATATGCAAAATTTACTTAGTAATCGGTTGAGCAAGGTCTATGAGTATATAAGCTCCATTGTTTGTTTTGTAAAATTCATGTTTTTTTCCTCAAAAATCATGTTTATCTCTTCCTGTCATGTCTTTGTTTTCGTTTTGCAGGTTATGTTTGTGCGAATTTGCTTTAGAAAACGCTGCAACACCAGCATGGCAATGCGTTTCCAGCCTTTGAGCAGAATACTGTTTTCTTCTTTAAACGAGTTTCGTCCTGTTCCAGGACTTTCTCCCAACCACGGCAGTCGAGCCGACAGTTCGTAGACGGAGACAAGTGATTCCGACGGAAAACGAAGTTCGAAATCGATGTCCACTGAAAATTGTTGCTGATTACAAATTTTTCTCGATTGTAGGGAAGAACAACACAGCTCTCACAACACGTTACATTGTATGTTCAAAGTGTTTTCAGTAATTACTTGTTGTATGGAAGATAATAATGTTCAGGTAAATATGGTTGCCAGGGTGAATGAGATTTACACTGTTGTGAATTGGGATGAAGGCCAGGAACCAGAGAACAGACTGAAAGAGGCAGGTCCGTAGTAAGAGTTGAGAATTTCTTCTTAAGAAATGTTAGTTTGCTTATCATTTGTTGACAGGTTCGTTAATATGGGCTTCTCAATCAAAGAGCTGAAGATCTTAGACAAACCTTCCAATCAACCAGGGCATTACAATTCTCGTGATCTGATAAATAATGGTGTATGGAATTCCAATCGCCTCTTAGAGGTATGTCGAAGTCAACAACCACTTTTTCCTTACTTGTTTTATACCTTTGTCATTGTAACGGGAAATGCATTAAGTTCTTCTGGGCCTTGCATTGTTGGGAGTTCATCATGAATTTGGCATGTCAAATATTTTAATTGGCTGCAACTACTTGAAGCGATTGAAGAGAGGCATTGTCCGTCTTTCAAGCGTTTCTTAGCAGAGTTGCGAGCGCTCAGTTGCGGGCACGGCCTGCAATTTTCAATTCGAAGAAGGCCGGGAACTTGTTTTTCACCTTCCTTAGCATCACTTTCCTTCTTTCATCAAACATAGGCCATTGGTCTCCGTCCTGTTATGTCTTGGGCACGACAAATTCACTTACCCAACCCTAGCTTGAATAAAAGATTATCTGTCTATTGTTTTACTTCGTCCTGGTACTCATTGCAGGCATTCACTCGTGAGGAGGGTTCTCCTTCATTTTGTTTGGTTCATCTGCTTACTGCTCAGTCTTTCGCTGATTCTGCTCATATTGGTTTGGCTTATGTGGCAGACACTCGAGGAGGTCCAGGAGGAATTTGTTCTGACTCAACGTTTGTAGGTTTTATAGGTAGTAATTTCATAGATCAGGATATTCAATTTTTTGAAGCATTTTCGTTAGCTGTAATGACTATGTTCAAGGTTCTTGATCGTCAAATTAGTTTCAACACAGTGTTCACAAGCGCCATAGGTAACACTGGTCTACATGATTACCCATTGGTGACAAAGGAGGCCGAGATTGTTGTCGCTCATGGTGAATTTTTCTTCTTTTTTTTGCATGGAAATTTTCCCTTTGCAAGAGGAGTAAGTGGTTTTGAACCGTCTCTTGTAGAATACGCCCATAGCTGGGGTGCGCAACACGATGGGTTGGAACGCGACGCCGATGGACGTGAAGAATGTCTACCAGATTATTCTGAGGGTGGAAATTATATAATGCATATGTACGCACAAAATGGATACGATCCAAACAACATAGTAAGTGCTGCTATCAATTAGTGGCCAGCCAATTTTCTAATCTTGTTTTATCTAAGCGCTTTTCACCCTGCTCCCGAAAGAGTATCCGTCGAATGTTGGAGCGTCGCTGGCATCGTTGCTTCGAGCCGGAGAAGGCATCATTCTGTGGTAACGGTGTCGTTGAAGAAGGCGAAGAATGTGATGAGGGAACTTTCCTCACTAAAAACGGTATCGAATTTGATTTGCTTTACGTCATTTTTTGCGATTCTCCAGATGTTTATTGCAAGAAATCTCCTAGGAGCTCCAACAAAATCTGACTTTTCGCGGTGCTTCGGTGCTAGCACCTTTGTCAGGCCTGAAACACTTCTAGAGCGTCGCATGGTCAATGATCGAGAACATAGTTTTTTTTTTTTTTGCAATAATAGCACTACCCATTATTTTTCTTTCAAAATTCTTGGCGGTAATGTTCCATTCCGCGATAGTGGAATTTCAGAGTGTTGATAATATTTGCTGCATCTTAAACCGCCTTGTTTATTAGATGTCGGTCAGACTCTGCGATTGCATCGCGCGATGCAGTCGCTCTGCTAGAGCGATTGGCATCGCTCCAAAGTGCGAGCGACGGGAGATTTACCCCGCCGACGACCGATACACACGGCGCCGCTCGGGTAAATCTCCCGTCGCTCGCACTTTGGAGCGATGCCAATCGCTCTAGGCAGAGCGACTGCATCGCGCGATGCAATCGCAGAGTCTGACCGGACATTCTCTTTTACCTGCGAAGATATGTGGTCAAGTTTTCGACTGCGAGCGCTCTGCTCTGCGACCTCAACCAAGCAAGAAGCAGCCGCTGAATGTCATCGCATCTTGTGCACAGCCTTTGCAAATTACGTATTATTCAAGCGTTAACATATAAATGGATAACGATGTTTACGGGAAACTGAGATGAAACTTTCGAAGAAGAAAAACCTAAAATAGTTACGAAGACGCGTCAAAAGGAGCAATGGAATTGGGTCTCAGCCAAACTTCGCGAGAACCTGCGATGACCTTCAAGTGATAATATTCTATGAACGATTACCTAGCTATCCGTGGCAATCCCAGGGCCGCATCATTCATGCTTAACAAGGGAGGTCGTTCAGGGTGTGGGAAGCTTTTTCAAAACGGTTTTTTGCATGCTGTAGGGACTCTCACGTAGACCACAATACTGCGTTTCGTTTTCGCTGAGCGGCCCCCTGAAGGCCAAAAAATGGTCGAAAAAAATTCGTTAAGAAGGGGTGGTTTTTGCTGCCTTGGAGTGAAGTTTCGGACCTGTACAAACGACCACCTGCATTTTGAAGGGCGCCGATGAAGATAATATCGAAAACAACTCGAAATTCGCTCAAAATTGAAGCACTGTACGTGGTACTGCTGAAGAAAGTGTAGAGGTTTCATAGGCGTCGTCGGCACCCTACACATCGCAGCGAGCAGGTGGCCGAGTGGATAGCGTGGTGGACTGGGTTGGCACGCACGACTTTGTGGATCGAGTCCGCTCCTGGGCTAACTTTTGCATTTTTGATAATCACCTCCAAATTGGCGCCAAATTGCTTCAGCGTCAAAATTAACGCTATATTCTCATTCAGGACCGTCAGTAGCCCTTGCAAATGGGTTTTCTACCAAAAATTGGAAGAAAAAGTTCGCAGCGCCAAACTGGCGCCAAATGGCGCCGACGTCAAAAACGAACGCCATAATCGTGTACAGGACCCTGATCTACCCCCACATGCCAAATTTCAGGAAAAATCTAGGTTTTGACCTAACTTCGAAAAAGAGGGTGGCCATGGGCTACAGGTATGACGACCTGTAGCCGAGCGACTTGAATACGAGTGCGGCGCCGAAATCAAGCGCAATGCCTTGTCGGCTCACGGGAACTAAAGTTCGGTTTCATAGGGAACATCTTCCATCATGTCGCAGTCCTTGAAATCGCTCCATCTATGGACACGCAGCCTTGCGAGTGGAGGAGCCGTGGACCCAATTACCACGTCTTGATGAAGGGGAGAATCTGCCGACTTCAAAATCATGGTGCCCTGTTGCCCATTACCAGCCTGGGTGTCTCCCATTGTCCATTTAGCAGTGATACTTCTCGTTATTTGAGAAGGATAACTGGGAACTCGTTTCCAGTGCACCGGCTGGAGGCAACTATGGGCTACTGACCTATCACTGGCCAATTTTTCGGATCCAGGTCAAATTCTCAATTTTCTCAAGAACTTCTGATTTAGGGAATATCGAGTGCCCTGATCACGAATATGACATTAATTTTATCCGATAGCTTCAATTTACGCTAGTTTGGCGCCGTTTGGCGCCTTTCTGGCGCTACAACTTTTTTCCACAGATTCTGGAAAAAGTTTGACTGCATTTCTTGCTCATGGTCTTAATGATGAGTACGATACCTAGTACTGGTGCTGGCGCTATTTTAAGGAAATTTCGAAGCTCCAACTAAAGTGCAAAAATTCTGTCATCAAGAGGGATTGAACCTTGGACCACTTCCCTACCAATTTTTGGCCTTCAGAAGGCCGCTCAGCGAAAATGAAACATAGTATTGTAGTCCCCGTGAGAGCCCCTACAGCATGCAAAAAACCGTTTTGAAAAAGCGCTCCACACCCTGAACGACCTCCCTTGTAAGTTCCAGACGCATTATACGTGAAACAACTTATCAATGTAATACCCGAATATTGCCACTTTCGAAAAGACGGGTTCCTTCTGGAGTTCTTTGGAGATCATTTGCAATAAGCTTTTAAACCCTCACAGTGCTTTTGTAATTGAATAGAAGTATTATTTTTCATTACTTCTTTTCTAGGTAGCTCAACATGTTGCACAACTGAGTGTCGTTTGGCACCATCAGCTCAGTGCTCTCCCTCACAATCAACCCTGGCCTGCTGCAATACTACCTGTTCTTATCATCCGGCTGATCACGTATGTCTTCCAGGAGATCCACTGCAGTGTAAAGCTTCTTCGTATTGCACGTAAGTGGTTCTTATTCTGTTACCGCTGTCACAGTAAATGGTGAGATTTGTGGACTAATGCAGGCAACGTAGTTGCTGCAGTGTGCAGCGGAGAAGGCGTATCACTTTCATTTCATGAAATATGTATTCCTTTCAATACTACTTTTTTATACGATTATTGCGAAACGTTGTTCAGGGGATATTCGGGAGAATGTCCGAGCGCTCCAGCTATTCCAAATGGTTCTCGCCCTGCATGAAAGAAGAAGAAAAGAAGGAGAATGTCACGATGGAGTTTGTCTTCCATATTGTGAGCGTAAGAACATCGCCAAGAAGAGCTGTATATGCGAAGAAGGTACGTTCAAATTCACTACAACTTTTTCAATAGTGGTGTAGGCTGTAGTTTCATTGGTGGGAGTTAGTATAGAATAGTCCCATCGCTCTTTCATCTCTGCACCTCCCTTATTTTCAACAGGTTTTTGCCCTGCTGTTCTTTATCCGCTAAGTACCACTGTATCATCTGTCTAGATTTTTGCATGTATACTTACTTACTTAGATACTTAGACGACCCGTTCCATCAGCACGGCGGTTGGCCTTGCGCGGGTCCCAACTTCTTTTCCATTGTTCTCGATCTTGAGCCTTAGTTGTCCAGTGAATGATCACCTTAAGGGACACAGGATCATATACGTTGTTCGATATGCCAGAGAGTCTGCCCAACGTACAGGAGGACGGCCAGGTGGTCGTTTCTTTTCGCGCGGGTACCATTGAGCAGTAGTCGAGCTCCATCGTCCATCATTTCTTCTCATCAAATGCCCAGCAAATCTGTGCTTCGCTTCATCGACGTGAAGGAACGTCTTTGACCTTTGACATAGCTCTGACATCAGAGTTATGGAGCTGTAATTCTCGCTGTCGACTCAACGTTAGGCCCACAAGACGACGCTCGATTGATGCTTGAGTGGACTTCAATTGCCTTTCTATCGATTTCGTCAGAGCCCAGGTCTCTCCTGCATAACTGAGGGCAGGTAGTACCGTTGAATTGAAGAGTTCTGCTCGTAAATTGCGATCTTTAGTATCTTCAGCAACGCTTCTTATGGAATTGAAAGCAGACCATCCAGCCTTGCGACGTCTGAGTACCTCTCCAGTCAAGTCATTCATCATATTTAGCTGGCTACCGAGGTATACGTATTCGTTGACGTCTTCGATTGGGCCTCAGAAGAACAGGTATGTTGTCTGAAAATCGGTTCCGCATGACCTTCGTTTTTGAAATGTTTATGACTAGACCGCATTGACTTCCTTCCTTATCAAGAAGATGTAGCATTTCAGAGGCATGTCTCGGAGATTCTGTGATCAACACGATGTCGTCGGCGAATCGGAGGTGATTGAGGCGCACACCATCAATGTTGATACCGAAGTTGCTCCAATCACAGCGGCGTATGACGGACTCTAGACAGGCAGAGAACAGATTGGGTGATATTGGATCTCCCTGTCGTACGCCCTTTTCAACTGCCACGACTACGTCGTTGAAGAAAGGGCGAAACACTGTTGTGCAATGAGAATAGCATTCCCGCAGCACATCCACATACACTTCGTCAACACCTTGAGCTTCAGCGCCTCCCAGACCTTCGCCGGTTCCTACAGAATCGAACGCCTTCTTGTAGTCAATGAAGGTCATCACGAGAGGCAGTGATGTTCACGGATGCTTCGATTAGGACGTCGGCAAGTCACGATGTGGTCGAGCGTGCTGAAGTTTCGACGGAAACCTGCCTGCTCGACCGGCTGAGCTTCTCCTACAGGGTGCGCCAAAATTACGGAGACAGCGATTTCGAGTCGCCTAGAATGAACACGCCACAATTCCAGGAAGCCAAAAATGCAGTAACGTTCACTGTTCAATAATGAATCGTAAACATCTGCCAAATCTCAGAAATTCCTTCGTTGGCACTTATACGGGCCTTGAGAAGCAGTGAGGAACCATCGGCGGTGGCACGCAAGGTAGTGCGTAGAATCCGTTCTACGTATTCTGAAGCAATTCTTCAAAATAATCCCCAAAAATGTAAAGTTCCATGCAAGTTTCAGCTTGCAGAATCAATTCTACAGTGTAAGCCATTTATATAGAATCTGAAATGCTGACCAACTCGTTGAAAGTGATGAATTCGACAAAATTGGCTCTGACCCAGTTCAGCACCACCCTTGCCTTATGGAAATCCCTTCCTTATGAAAGATCAAACAATGTTTTTAAATCTTAAGATGGCAATTTGCTTGGGAATTCTCAAGTAATCTCCTTAATGTCCATCTCTCGTGACATTCGGCGGAACGAGTGCGCGAAGTGCCACCAAATTCTGTTGCGCACCATGCTGACATTGCTCGTGGCCGTCTCGGAAACACAGCCTTCCCATCCAGAATGAGTGCATTCGGTTCCTTACTCCTTGGAGCGTTTAGTGGATCCATGATTGGTACCCAGGTAAAAACCAAAACGCTGATAATTCTTGCGTGCCGCAAACTCTCAAAGTTGAAGTTCAGTGATCTAGAAATAGCGGCAGAATCATTCAGCCATCGTAACAATCATACATATTGGTGGTCAAACAAGATAATTATGAACAGGTCAACACAACTAAACCAAAATGAGCGCAGCAGTAAACAGCATCTTTGAATAGTGGTTCAAATAGTGCGCGGAAGTGCTGTCTCCGTAATT